GTACTGACTCCATGACACCTAACAACAACAACAAGGAGTCTCTGCAATGTCAGTTTGAACCACATCGTTGGCAGGTTCAAGCTCACCAGCCACTCGGAAACCCTAGACAGGGTCGCCATGGGTGGAAACCAACTGGACAACTTAACAACAACAATCCGTCACCAGTAATAACAGTGTCTTCTGTTTTACTATAAGCTTCCTGATGTGAATGTAAAAGGATATGGGGGTCCGCCTTGCTCGGAGTTCACACTGGGAGGAATAAGGAAGCTTCCAGGCCCGAGGAGGCTGATTCCTGTCAGGCTGCCCGAGGTCAGAAGTGCTGCACCCTGTTTCCTCCTTCCCTGTTCTGTCACCAGTCGCCCCTCCCCAGGCACCCTCTGCTTCTCTGATGGGTTCCATACAGGACTCTCAGCCAACACACAAGGCTTATTAGGGAAGTTGTTGTTGTTATGTGCCATGGAGTTGATTGCGACCCTGTATAGTGTTTCTGAGGAGCAGCTGGTGAGCTTGAACTGCCAACTTTGAAGTTCGAACGGTTTTGCAGTCTGGCGCATTAACCCACAGTGCCATTCAGGAGCAGAAATGTTGAGGCGACAGTTGTTCGGTAAGAACAGCCTGTCTGTCCCTCAGCCTCTGCCTGCTCAGGCAAGTGTCACAAAACTCCATTGACTCTGCAGATGAATAACCAGGGAGCACTCCACTCCACCCCACCCAAAGGTGCTTAGCTCCATTTCAACAAACCCAGCTCCCCCGATTAAGTGCCTGGAGGCTTACTCCACAAACAAGCCTCTGCTTGAAGACACTCACTGCCTGCTCTGTGGGATGGGAAGAAGCCCACCACTCTATTTCATGCTGTTCCTGCTGTATCTACCGCCTCCGCTTCTCGGCCGCTTCCTGGTGTCGTGGCTCTGTAGCTCCTGGATTAAAGAGGCTCAGTGCACAGGGGTCTTGGGGTCGCACATGGGCTCAGCTCCTCCTGCCTCTTCTTCCTTGATTGTAGTGAGAGCCCCTTTCAACTTCTGAAATGACTCTTTTAAACCCCAGTGGGTGGCAAAACTGATCAGTCCCCACAGAAGCGTTTCATACACCCTATTTGTGTGATCCCACCCACTCATTTTCTGGGAGTTACCAAGACTGTGGCTAGAAGCGCCATATTAAGCAATTTACTGCGCTGCAGTAAATCCACTTATATATAGGTGTTATGTAAAGGAGTGAAATCAGTGTGACATAAATCATACCGTCGAGTCGGTTCTGACCCATAGCGACCCTCTAGAGGGTTTCCAAGGAGCAACTGGTGAGCTTGAACCACCAACCTTGCAGTTCAAGCAGACTGTGCAGTCTAGCACATTAACCCACAGCCCCACCAGGACTCCTAAATCATACCGTTGTTGGTATTGTTACGGACCGTGGAGTTGGTTCCAACTCATAGCAACCCTGCATGGGGTTTCTGAGGCTGTAAATATTTACAGGAGCAGAACGCCTCATCTATTTCCTGTGGAGCCACTGGTAGTTTCAAACTGCTAACTTTGAGGTTGGCAGCCCGACTTGTAACCACTGCGCTACCAAAGCTCCTTCATATGTCATCATTTTCCCATAAGAGCCAGAATAGCAAGAGCAGAATTCTAACCTTTAGCAGGAACGAAAAGTACCACAGCTTGCCTCTTGGCTATTCCAAGAGCCCTTTGGTTTTATTGTAATGAAATGGAAGTCACACCTGCATGTTTGGACCCCTCCCTGGGGAGGTGAAGTCCTCCATCTCTGGCCAGTCACACTGCCCCCTGTTTGTAACAGGTGCCCACTGTCACCGCCACTTCCGTCTGCATTGCCACGGCACTTGGCTGCTCTTGTCTTACTAAGTTTTGATAAGTTGCATGAGTTTTTCTTCTATTGTTTTCGTTCACTTTTAATAAACATTGACCGCCCACCTCAAGGTCAGTGGTTTATAGCCTGCAGCCACTCCTCGGAAAGTCTACACAGAACTGACTCAGTGGCACTACCGCAACATGCAAAGACTTCACTCTGAGGACTAAGGTGCACCTGACCTGAGCCATGGTGTTTTCATATGCCTCGTATGCATGTGAAAACTCGACAGTGAATGAGGCAGACCAGAGAGAGACAGAATTAGTGTGTTCACTAAGGGATTGAAATTTCCATGGACTGCCAGAAGGAGGAGGAAAGGTGGCTTAGGACAAATACCGCCAGATCACTCCTTCCACATGAGGATAGCAAGAGACTCCACCTCACGGACTTTGGACCTGTTGTCAGGAGGGGCCAGTCCCTGGAGGGTCAGTGACAAAGAGGAAGTCCCACAACACAATGATTTGACACCGTGGCTGCATCAGTGGGCTCATGCGTGACAATTGTGACGATGATGCAGACCAGGCAGTATTTGGCGCTGCTGTGTGTGGGTGGTGATTCTGTGCCTCAGAACTGATTTGACAACACTTCACAACAAGACTAATCGCCTGCTGTACTGAGATCCCTCCTGAAGGGAGCCATGTTCTCTTCCTGAGTACCAACTGGTGGAAACTGTAAGCTAGGTTTTGCTTGGGTTTGGCTGATGACTAGGTTTTGTTTGTTGGTTTGTTGGAGTGCTCTTGCCTGGAGAGCGCGGGCAGTTTGCAGTGGTTCAGCCCCAGCCCCACACTTCTGTGGGAGAAAGACCCTAAAGAGTCTAGCCAAGAAACTGTATGCTTACTTCCGCTCTGGGGTATGAGCTTGCTAGGCATCAGAACCAAGACAGCAACAGCTGTGCAGTTCTGTGCCATGGAGTCGGTTCTGACCCATAGTGGCCTTGTACAGGGTTTCTGAGTCTGTAAATCTTTACAGGAGCAGAAAGCTTCATCTTTCTCCTGCGGAACAGCTGGGAGTTTCGAACTGCTAGACCTTGCGGTTCGCAGCCTGATTCGTAACCACTATGCTAAGTAGGAGGTCCACCTCTGCGGGATTACCCACTGAGAACAGCATGAACACTGTCAGACACAGTGCCGGAAGATGACCCCACAGGTTGGAAGGCACTCAAAATGCAACTGGGAAGGAGCTGCTTCCTCAGAGTAGAGTTGGCCATGCTGACATGAATGGAGTAAAGCTTTCGGCTCTTCCTTTGCTGCTGGGGCACAATTCAAAATGAGGAGACACCGCGGCAAGCGTGGATTGAAAAGCGAGGAACATATCCAGTCTGAATCTTGCAGGGCTGCTTTAAATTCCACACACAGCCTATCTGTAATTCGACTCTTGCCTTTTGATGCTACCATGCGGTCATTCCTCTCGGCTGGCTTGTCTCTGCTCACATGTCATCTCTGTTATCTCCCCCCCACACCCCACCCCACTTAGTCCATGTGTACTGTGTCCGGGAAAAGGGAAGAGCAGGATGGTAATGCTCTGAAGTCGAGAGGCAGTGGTTTGGTTTGGAAAAAAACTGCAGGTTCCCATTCCTGAGGCTCAACCAGCTAATGTGTAAAAAATATATGTATATATAATTAAAAGGGTTGTTTTTGTTTTTGTTAAGTGCCTTCAAGTCAGTTCCAACTCATAGTGAGCCTATATAGGGTTTCCGAGGAGTAGCTGGTGAGTTTGAACTTCTGACCTTGCGGTTCAAGCCGGCCTTGCAGTCCAGTGCTTATCCTAGAATGCCGCACCAGGACTCAAGAATAGAAAGGGGTATGTAAGCAGAATTTAAGAAGCCCTTATGGCACAGTGGGTTAAGCATTGGACAGCTAACCTTTAGGTCAGCAGTTCAAACCACCAACCACTCCACGGGAGAAAGTATAGAGGCTACTGTATAGTTGTTAAATGCCATCGAGTCAGTTCCAACTCAAAATGACCGTGTTCCAGGGTGTCCAAAGGAGTAGCTGGTGGGTTTGAACTGCCGACCTTGTAGTTCGAAGTCCAGTGTGGATCCTGCAGTACCACATCGGGAGTCCAGAGACAACTAAAGGAGCGTGCGTCTGTGTTCCATTGTATCAGTATTTACCTCAGTACAGTGCTTTATTGACTTATTCCTCCAGGCATAGTCAACCGTGCTCTTGGCATGTTTTTGTTTTAAGTGAGTGTTGCCCCGTGGAGTACAGTACAGCCCAGGCTCGATTGTGTGTGCTTCTGGGGGGGGGAGGGGTGCATGGAGTCCCCCTGGTCTGTTGGTGATGTCTCAGTGTCTCGCTATTAAACCTCTTTTGTCTTTTCAAACACCTGCTGTTTTCCCCCAGGTGCCCTGGGGCTGCTGATCACCGACTTGCCCTAGAAAAACGAAAAAGGAACAAAACTCAGCCAGAGGTTGAGATTGAGAATGGACCCGCCATCATAGACCTCCCTGGTACGGTATCACCAGAAGCCATCTGTCTGGGGACAGGACTCGTGCCAGCGGAGCGGAACCTGACCCCCGCGCCTCTCCCTGCCTGGACGGAGGAGCCCGGCCTCGACAACCCTGCCTTCGAGGAGAGCACCGCAGCTGACAGTATGTGGGCATTTTCAAGCTGCGGCCTGGCCTTCCTGTTGTTCCCTGGGGCGGCTTTACTGAGGTCTGGTTTACAGGCTACCAGAGCCACCCATTTTAAGTGTTTCAGAAATGAGCCATGGCCCCATCCCACTGAGGAAGGGGGTCCTCCCTGCCCCCCTTTTCTGCTGGAACTGGGAACTCACCAGTTAGCGTGGTTATTAGCATAGGGTGTGTGTGAGTTCAGACACCTGTTAGCTTCTTAACATAGTAAATCCACAACGTGAAGAAAAACAGCCGCCAACTCAAGCAGAATAGAAACTCAGATGAACTGCCTACCCATGCCAGGCACTGTGCCGAGCACGTGACAGATATTAACTGATTGACTCCTGGTATGCTGGGGTGGCGCTGTAGGATAAGCATTGAACTGCAAGGTCAGTGGTTCAAATCCGTCATCTGCTCCTCAAAAACTCTATACAGGGTCGCTATGAGTCGGCACCGACTAGACAGCAGTTTAACAACAGCACCAATACTGTAACAGCCTCTTGGGGGGCCGCTCAGTCTCTGGCTCAACCTCCCACAGCTAGTAAACGGCTGGGTGCACCTGAACTCCAAGGTCTGCTTCTAACTGCGGCACCCTTTGATGCCACCGCCCACTCTATCTCTAGTCCTCCTGCAGTGGTGGGGGGAACTGCCCCCCACCCCCCAAGGATTTCTAAGACTGCCGGTCTTTACAGAAGCAGACTGTCAAATCTTTCTCACCCAGAGCGGTTGGTAGGTTTGAACCACCAACCTTTTGGTTAGCAGGCAAGTACTTAACCACTGTGCCACCAAGCCTCCCTGTAAATAAAAGCAGCTTCCCTGAAATCACGACTTCATGGCAATGGTTGCCCAAAGCGACCATCTAAACCAGGAGAATTCATGGCCGTCTAGTCGCTTCTGACTCAAAGGAACCCTAGGGGGGAGGGGAGAATTGTCCTGTAGGGTTTCCAAGGCTTTTACAGAAGCAGATTGCCTCAGCTTTCTCCCAAGGAGCAGCCGACCTTTGTACCTCCAGGGCCCCTCTCTGTCTAAGACAATAGAAAGCCTTCATCACCAATCATGGGCCTACATATTGATAGTTTGTTGTGCTCTTTACCTTTCAGATAACTTCCTTTCACACATTCCTAATTTAAATTCTTGGTGGCACAAGTCCTAACCCTGCCTCATCTCCTGAGTGAGACTCAGTGTAAGGCCCACCTCTTCTGGGAGCTGGATATTTGCACACGGGGCTGTGGGCCCTGAACCTGCACTGCCGGGCCCATTGATGACTGCGATGATTTTCTCTTTCCATTTCTTCATCAGGTCACTGTGTCCCAGGTGGTCTGAGGCCTACGAGGGGCCTTCAGAACGTTCATGGAACTTCATTGTCTTTTCGTTTCATTTTCCATGAACTTGTTGAAGCCCCTGCTGTTACCATCATCGCTCTTCCTGGATTATTTATTGATCACTTTTGAAAGAGGACATTTTAAACTCATTTTAGCTTACAGTTGTTTTACATTTTTCTTTATTTTTTGGTCATTCTTTGTCTGATCCAGTGGTACTTTTTAGTTTTTAATCGTCTACTCACATAAGATAATTTTATTTACCTAAGAAACCCAGACATAAAGCCTGCTTTTTTCTTCCATCCATCGATCTCGCTCTCTCTCTTTTTAAATTTGGCAGCCGTGCAACAGCCACTGAGCTTACCCGAAGGAGAAATCACCACGATTGAAATTCACCGATCGAATCCTTATATTCAGTTAGGAATTAGCATTGTGGGCGGTAATGAAACACCACTGATTAATGTCGTAATCCAGGAAGTCTACCGGGACGGGGTCATCGCCAGAGACGGAAGGCTCCTTGCTGGAGACCAGATTCTTCAGGTACCTGTTACAATCTGCCCATTTGTACCTTTCTGTTCTTGTTCATAAACGTAAAGCCAGCTCCAGATGCCACTCCGACTCACGGTGACCCCACATGTGTCACAGCGGAACTCTGTTCATACAGTTGATAGTTTGGGAAGTAGATTTGCCAAGCCTTTCTTCTGAGGTCTCTCTGCGTGGGCTTGAACCTCCACCATTCTGTCAGTAGCTGAGCACTCACCCACTGTGCCACTAGGGTTCCTTCAGATGAAGCTTAGCTCTGTGGCTTTTGGTGCAGAACAGATGAGACTCGATCTGTGAGTTCTCCTGTTTCCCCACATGCACCGAGTCTCATTCTTCTCTCTACCTTCATTTCCGGTCCTGTGTGTGATCCAGCCCATGGTGTGCTGACTCTTTCCTGGCTTGGACTCCATGATTTAGTAATTTAGTGTCAGTCCCTCCCTGCTGCGAGCCCTGGTGTGGGCCATAGGTTAAACACTCCACCTCAAGGTTGGTTTGAACTGCAAGGTTGGTGATTCAAACTCACCAGCCGCTCTTTGGAAAACCTGTACAGAGTCGCTATGAGTTGGAACCGACTCGACGGCATACAACAACAACAAGAAGGAGCCCTGGTGGCGTAGTGGATTACCCCTTGGGCTACTAACCACAGGGTCAGTAGTTCGAATCCACCAGCCGCTTCATGGGAGAAAGATAAGGCATTCTGCTCCTATAAAGATTTACGGCCTCAGAAACTTTATATAGGGTCACTAAGAGTTGGAAACGACCCCACGGAACACAACCACCACCACCACCTCCATCCCTTTGGACACTCTTCTCCCATGATCTTTATCCCAGGCCCAGTTTCCCATCCGTCTGTTACCTTGGTAGTCTGATTTAGCCTCTTTGACACGACTCGACAGCATTTGACAACAACCATGATTAAAACCTCCGAAATCTAGAGCTCTCTCTCGTAGCCCAGGCCTGCCACGATCCCTTACACATGGCTCTCTTCTTCATCCGAACGCCTTCTCAGCTGCAGATGTACCAGTTGTTTATTTCCTCATCCCATCACCCACGTATGCCGTCAGCAGATGGGTTGCAGACCCCCATGTTCTAGGCTCTGTACTAGTTGCTAGAAGTAAAATTGAGAACAAAGCACAGTTCCTGTCCTCCTGAAATGTTCGGTCCGGTGAGGAGTCTGGCTGCTTGCCTTCTTGCATCCCTCCAGGCAGCTCATTCCCACGTTCCATTTTCTGCTCCAACGAAGGGCTGTTCAGTCCATCCCGGTGGCTCCTTACTTGAATTCTAATGGCACTTCCTGCTTCCTGTCCCCCACTCCACACATGAGTTACAGCATGTGATCTGCATGTTCTGCATGTGTGTGCACTGTCTTGCTCCGGCAGTTGCAGGCTCCTCACAGCTGTGCCTCTGAGAAGTGCTCGGGTGGAATACAGGACCCTAACCAGAGAAGCAGCGACACCAGAGATGGAGGCAGAGATGAGGACATGGAGAGAAGGAGCAGCTGAGGACTCTAGACTCATGGAAAGAGAAAGGCTGTGTGCTGGCGGCCAGGAGGCAGGCTTGCAGAATGTGCCCTTGGATTGTTTAAATGATTATATATTCCTGAGTGTTTTTGTGTACATCCTCCCCTCCCCCCAGAAAAACAAACAAACAGAGGAAATGGAAGCAAATGCTATTGAATGATGATGCATGGAAGGGATTGTAATCATTTCAATGAAACGATGGTGTAAACCGATGTTCTCCCATATAAACTATCACTCAGTTCACAATCAAAACTTAAACCAATGTGCTCAGGGATGGAGCCTGATCAGTAGAAGTGGACCTGAATGTGGCATGCTTAGTAAAGTAGAGCATCAGTGACCAAGAGGAAGACCCCGACCAGATGGAGGGAAATGGTGGCCACAGCATTTGGCTCAGCCCGAAGAAGCACAGTCACCGGGCAGTGTTCCGCTCGCCAACTCGACGGCACGTAACAGTGACGACACCATCTGGAAAAGTCATCTCTTGTATTAAGACAGTGGACTCCCCAGGGTTTTCCCGCTCTTGGAAGGAAATCTCCATATAGGGATTTGGGGGCTTTTCCTTTCCTGTCTCACTTGTGTCCCACCTCTGGCCTTGTGGGACTCCCCCGGGCGTGTTCAGGTTCAGAGCTCTCCCTTTACGCACTCTTAGCATGGCTGAGGCAGACTTCACTTTTAAACAGTGTCTTATTTGCTAAATACTAAAAAGAAACGGGAGACTCGGGAGCATTCTAATCCAGTTTCTGTGAAGTCAGGTTCCCGATCTGCCACAGCGAGCTCTTTACTGTAGTCCAGCTCCTGTTTTAAGCTGTTTCTACTGCCACTGCATGGTCCCATCTGTGAGGACCACCTGGCCTGGACTCCTTAAGGTGGCACATTGCATTGAAGTGTTAGAGTGTTAACTGGAAGTGTGGTGCCTCAAGCCCACCAGCCACTCTGCAGGAGAAAGATGAGGCAGTCTGCTTCTGTAACGACGGCTTAGAAACCCAGTGGGGCAGTTCGAGTCTGCCCTGCACACTGTTGTCTCAGCAGCAGACGGACGTGTTTTCCTCACTGCGCAGCTCCTGACCTGAGTCTGCTTAGAGGGAGTCTTAGAGCCGTCTGCCCAGGAACCTTCTCTGAGATGTCTTGACCCAGGTGTCAGATTTCCACTTCCGCAGGCCACTCTGCTTGTCCTTGCTGTAATTGCAGCAGACATTTATTTCTATGTTTTGTTCAGCTTTTGTCATTGGGCTTTCATACTCTTCTGTTTTGGAGAATTGTTTAGTAGCGTAACTGAACCTTTATGCCTCAGATAAAAGAATAATTATCTGAAATTACTGACTACTTTGGGGAAACTAACTCCAAGGTATTAAATCTACATTTGGTAAATGCCAATAAATAATTACTGATTATAGACACACACATTAGTAACTCCAGTAATAACCGTCTGAAACTCACTGTAATGATTCAAATTGGAGAAAAGTATGGTGGCACAGTGGGTTACGTGTTGAGCTGCTAACCACGAGGTCGGTGGTTCAAACCCACCAACTGCTCGCTCCCCAGATGATGTACAGCCTTAGAAACCATGTGCAGGGCAGTGGAGAGTCCAAGTCACCTTGATGGCTATGTGTTGGTTACACTGTTGGGTTTAAAGAATACTTCACGGTTTGTTGTTGTCACTTGTTTTTAGTAAGGTTTAAACCTTAAATTCGATCCCAAGACCAAAGTTTTAGGGGCTCTTCTGGACTCCGTGACTCCAGGAAGTCTGGATTCCAGACTTTGAATTTGAAATTCTGTTCTGTATCCCCTGACCCTGCTCTTGGTCAGGAGTCTTCTGTAGAACATTCATGAATCATTTCCCAACATTTTAATCAAGGCCGAGGAGGGCTACAGAATGCATGGCTATCACAAACTTGGAAGAAGAGCAAATTTGCATGGGACATCTATGAATTTGGTAACAGAATGTTTAAGAGATGCCAACAGTCCAGAATCAACAAAATTAAAATTGGTAGGATTCAAAACTGTCAGCCCCAGACACGCAGCGTGGAGGCCTTCCTTCAACACAGAAGACTGAGGGCGATCACAAACACCTCACCCAGAGTCTGCTCCGGCATCTGGGTCTCTCCTGGCCGTCATCTCAGTCAGAGTGAGAGAGGAACTCTAATGGTGATCAATACTAGAAGTTTCGTTCGTCTGTCCCTTGCCTCGTTGAAGCTAAGTGATTCCAAGGCTACAGAGTTTAATTAGTAAGCATGTGACTTGAATTATGCTACAGTACACAGATGTGTTAAAGAAGCTACGTGAGATTAGGATTATCTGCTTCTCTCTAAAGCCACATCACAGAAGGTGATGTCCCTGGAACATGCTGCTTTTTGTAAAATACAATTCCATATTTTCTCTAGATTTAAATGTATCTGGTTTGAAGAAGTCAACTCGCAATCCAGCATAACTTCAGTGTCGGATCCACTAGCACCAGCATTTCCTTAGCATTTGCCATATACCACTGCTGTCCGCTCAGTCCCACGGTGGTCCTCCGAGTGAATAGTGAACACATTTTACAGATGAGGAAACAGCCTCAAAAAGTCATTATCATTTCCTACCGCTTTCCCTGGACTTGGTGAAACCCAGCATCACCCACCCAGTAAGTGTTGGAACCCAGGGCTCTAACTCAAGATGTCCATTACCATGATCTTAGCCCGCTGGTGGCTGACTGGTCTGAGAGAGACTGCGGACCCCCCGAGACTATGGCCCTGAGTCACCCTTCAAACCTGGAACTGAACTTGAACTCACCCCTGTGTCTCAGCTTCCAGCCAAACACCAGCCGGGGCCTGGAACCAAGGACGCATGCAGTCCTTCCAGCAACCAGCCATAGGAGTTCAAGAGGGGGCAGTATGTGCCCAGAGTGAAAGTTCAGCAGGCAGGCAGAGCAGGGACAGGAGAGCAGGCAGACTGGAAACGGGAACCCAGGGAGGAAGTGGGAGAGTGATGTTACCCTGGGAGGACTGTGGTCAATGTCAGGAAACACACCGCTCATGAGCTGTTGATGCAGACCCAGTCTGCTCTGTAAACAGTAAACAGGGACGAAGCTCCCTGTGAGCTGACTCTAAGAGCCCTCTCTGGAAAGGCTATTTAGCGCCGTTTTCTCTGTAAGTCATGACCTCAGAGCATTGTACAATGTCTGATTTTTCCCGGAGGGATCTGGAAACGTCTCACCATTGTCCTCATTTCGTTTTCCTAGGTCAACAGCTATGACATCAGCAATGTGTCGCACAACTACGCCAGGGCCCTGCTGTCCCAGCCCTGCAGCTCACTGCAGCTGACTGTGCTCCGAGAGCGCCGCTTTGCCAGCCGCGCCCACTCAGACAGCGGCTCCCCGCGAGAAGAGGTTTTCCACGTGGTCCTCCATAAGCGGGACTCCAGTGAACAGCTCGGCATTAAGTTGGTGCGGAGGACAGATGAGCCGGGCGTTTTCATCCTGGACTTGCTAGAAGGGGGCTTGGCTGCCCAGGATGGACGGCTCAGCAGTAATGACAGGGTGCTGGCCATCAATGGGCACGACCTGAACCTCGGGACACCTGAGCTGGCCGCCCAGATCATTCAGGTAAACGCCGTCTGACAGGTATTCCAGGTGGTGGCTGTGGTATTGGGAGCCGTCAAGTCAGTTCCAGCTTGTAGTCACCCCTTCTGGGGCTGCCTAGGCGGTTGGTCACCTTTCTAGGAGCAGATGGCCTTTCTCCCATGGAACTGCTGGGTGAGTTTGAACCGTCAATCCCTGGTCAGCAGTCAAGCACTTAACCATTGTACCACCAGGTTCCTTTGTATTCAAGGTACTCAGCCTTCATTATGATTTGTCGATGGTTACTTGTGTTGGCAGATAAGCCTACAAACTCAGGGATATGTGATATTGACAAATCGTGCATACCCCAAACCCACTGCCACTGACCTGCTCCCACCTTCCAGCGACCTGCAGTAGAGTACAGCTGCCCCCCACAGGGTTTCTGAGACTGTAAGTCTTTACAGAAGCAAACGGCCTCATCTTTCTCCCACAGAGGGGCTGCTTGGTTCAAACTACCTAACACCTAACCCAAATTCTCCCAAGTCTACAATGTGTTATTGTGAAGGCCTGTCTTCTCCAAACAGTGCCTGTCCAGATCCATGACCTCTTAGGCAGGCTTCCTGGGGGTTACAGGGTTATAACTTCACACTCATCTCTTATATGATCTGTGTTGTTGTTGTTAAGTGTCATAGGCTCGATTTGGGCTCCATCCACCATCAGTTCACAGTATTAGATCCAGGGAGCAGCTGGTGGGTTTAAACCGCCCACCTTGCAGTTTAGACTGACTCCTAGGGACCCCATGTAGGGTTTCCAGGAAGCAGTTGGTAGGTTTGAACCGCCCACCTTGCAGTTCAAACTGACCTTGCGGTCCAGCGCATAATCCTGCAGTGCCTCACCTGAACTCCATAACCATCATAGAATGTGTCATTTAGCAAGAAAATCTTTTCTTGACTTTTTACCACAGTGGTCTCATACAATATTTGTCCTTTTGTGATTGACTGATTTCGCTCAGCACAGTGCCTCCAGGTTTCTCCATGTTGTATGGTGTTTGGTCTTAAGAAGGGATCCCCACACACATCCATGTGATACAGAGAACAGATTCAGGTCTTGCTCTCATGTCAATGACTTGAGGCTTGAAGAAATCAGATGCCTTTGAATCGGGTGAGGACCTACACCCGATGCTGCAACATCCAGGAAAACCAGTTCCTCTGATAACGGGGGGCTGCTGGAATGGGGAGGTCAACACCAAGGAGTAGAAGAATGAAGCTAAGCAAGTTATGGCATTTAAAAATATTTGAGAAAGCACAGAACTGAGTGAGGTGTCCAGAAGGAAGCAAGGCATGATGGGCCGTGTTTGAACACCAAACCTGGGAAAATACAGATAACACAAATCAAAACTACATTGAAATGTTTTCTACGATACCAGATGGTGTTTGGATTTTTATAGTTCCCATTATATTTTGTGCTATAATTTTTCCCAAACCACAGAAAATGGAAATTGCCCAATTTAAGTTTCTCTCTGAAAAACATTAAAAGTCTTCATCATTTTCGGGTTATTAAAATAATATACACTCCATGTTTAAAAAGAAGAAGCTAAAGTCACATGTAATTTAATAGCTCAAAATATCAGCATTGAAGTTGCAGTGATCATCATGCCAAGCGTCTTCTATGTCTCTTGTCACAACGAGATAAGAACATGTTTACACAGACTCTCAGCTTGTGAATGCTGGCTATGTAATCTTTTCTTGATGTCAGTAATAGACATCTCACTATAAAAATAACTAAGGACTAATTCACAATAAAAACTTTAAAAAAAAAATAAGTAAAGACTCATATCCTGGCTTTTAATAGCTATATAGTAGACCTATAGAGCCCTAGTGGCTCTGCAGGATAAGCACTGGACTGCCAACCATAAGGTCAGCAGTTCAAACTGCTTTCTGTTCCCATAAAGATTTACAGCCTCGGAAACCCCATACAGGGTCACTGTGAGTCAGCATTAACTCAGTGGTTATGAGTTTTGAGTTTTAATGGTCAGCAGAGATGATAACGTATTTAATTTCTTTATTGTGTGCAGACTTTAGGGTTTGTTGTTGTTGTTGTTGCCCATGTTTAAGACACTTTTGTTCCGTTTCCTCCAGAAAGGTTATTATGCCAGTGTTTACGCCCAGCATGCCAAGTCACTTACAGGTATTGTCATCCCACCACCCTGCGTTTATCAAATCTTGACTAACACAATCCTGTGCTGTGTGTGAAGCCCTGAAATGCTCATTGTTCACTATGTTTAAAGTCAGCTAGCCTCACCCCAAATGTGGATCCAGCATTTAAATTCTAAATGCTCGCTTTGGTCACATTCGCAGAATTTTGTCTTTTAAGCAATCTGGATGAACGTATTTGTGTAAGCAGGAGTTTTCACTCCATGAAACACTTAATGCTGATGGTAGAGTATTTGGTGATTATGGGTGAACATGATTTCCCATATTGAGATCACTTCACAAAGGGGAACTTATCAGTGTGACATCTCATAATTTGGAAAGTCAGGAGTTCAGCCCTCTCCTCTGGTATTTCCCCTGTAGGCTTTGGACTCCCTGCTGTGGGGATCCGGCTGCATGGTGGGCTGGTTCTCCTTCAGTTCTTTTGAAGAACTTACCTAAAACAGCTTAGTTTAATAAGATGTTTGGTTAAGCACCAAAATCATTCGCTGAAGCCTTCTGAAATCTAGCAATAGTTTCACCTAACTGGTAAAGAATGCCAGCCTTGAGCATTGTGTTCTACAAGTCCCTCTCTATGGGGTAAAATTGATAGTAGCAACTCATAGGGTTCAATAGGAACCTTGGGGCAGGGGCCTACGGGCTGGGGGGTTGTGGATGTGGAGGGACCACTTAGAAAGGAGGTGAGAGTTGTTCCACCACTTGAAGAATGTCATCAGTGTCTCTAAACTTGTCAACACTCTTGCTTTGGTATATGTCTTACTATGAGTATTCTCAACAGCAAAATAAACTTACAAGAAAAAAGATGCTGGAATAAGCAAAGGATTTCTAATAGGGCATTAAAATTGCTTGTCCGTGAAGATAGTGACTTCTGGGAAGCAGGCTATTCTGTTTTCCCTTCAGAGTAATGGCTCAGTTGAATACTCAGCGTGAGTAAATTAGGCGGGGTGTTCAAAGCAATTGTAAATGTTGGAGGAAAATATTCAAAGTGCCATGGGCTTCCAAAAGAACCAACAGATCCGTGTTGGAAGAAGTGCAGCCAGAGTGCTCCTTAGAGGCCAGGATGGCCAAACTTCGTTCCTCATACTTCGGACATATTATCAGGAGGGACCAGTCGCTGGAGAAGAATATCATGTTTGGTAAGGTGGAGGATCAAATAAAAAGAGGAAGACCCCCAGTGAGATGAATTGGCAGATTGGCAGCAACAGTGGGCTCAAGCGTGGCAACAATTGTGAGGTTGGCCCAGGACCAGGCAGTATTTCGTCCTGTTGTACATAGGGTCTCTATGAGTTGGTACTGACTCGATGGCACCTAACAACAATAGGATAGATGTAAATCTTTTCTGTCTGTAATGGGATGGGATGGGTGCAAGAGTTTCAGAGCCTCAGCCTTTATGAGAGCAGACAGCCTCATCTTCCTCCCAAGCAGCAGCTAGTGGGTTTGAACCCCTGACCTTGTTAGCAGCCCAGCATCTAGCGCACAGTACCACCAGGGCTCCTTTAGCCCCTCTAATTTGTAACAAGCCAAGCCTCACTAATGACTGGTGGGCATGTGTGTGTGTCCCCCAGGCCAGTGGAGAGCGGGTGACCTTAACCATCTCAAGGCCGGGGAAGCTGCAGCCAGCCAACCCTCACCGAGAGGCATGGAACCTGGCCAGTGCCCAGCACCATTCTCAGCAGCTGAACCCCGTCAGACCCAGCTCTCATAAGGTGAGGATTTGCCTCATTTTGTTTTCTTTCCGATTTCTGCTATCCTCCAGAGAGCGTTTGTACAAGGTGTTACGATGTGAATGAAGGGGTTACTCTGTTAGAAACGTGTGGACTCGGCATTTGGGGTGTGAAATACATGTGTCTGCGTTGTCACCACCAACCGAGATCATTTCTGGGCGGGACACTGACCTTCCTGTGACTGTGGAGAAGTGGATAACCTTCCAGAAAGATCTTAGTTGACTCCAGTTGGAAATGGGATTTCTGCGTAGTTGCTAATTTGAACAAGTGTTGGTTGTGCGAGGGAAGAGTGGACTGAGGCTGGGAGTCAGCAGACCTGCACCTGGCTGCTCGGCAGCTTGCCCAGGACAACAGGATTGGACAGGTGAGTATTAACCCTGGGTCTGACATTTCAGCTGTAAAGGAAAAGAGGAATGGGGAGAAGCCAGTGATAAACAGGGCCTTTTTGAGTTGATGGAAATGTTCTAAAACTGCTGATGGGTGTAAAACTTCTAAACACACTAAAAATCATTGATTTGCCCACTTTAAGTGGCAGAACTTTACTGCATGAAAATTATGTTGTTGGTAAGTGCCCGCGAGTCCATTTCAGCTCATAGAGACCCTGTATAGGATTTCCAAGGAGCGACTGATGAGTTTGAACCGGCAAGCTTGCAGTTCAAATCAACCTCGTGGTCCAGTGCTTATCCTACAGTGCCACACACACACACACAAAATCAACAACCCAGGGCCCTACAGTGATGTAACTTGTAGTGACCATATAGGACAGAGCCTAGGGCTTCTGAGACGGCACATCTGAGACATTCCGAGGTCACTTACCTATGCCCAGAATGGCAGTACTCTCTCCGAAGTTCTGGATGTGAGAAGGGCTTCGCTATATTCTCAATGCGATTTGTTTCCTTGGATCCTCAACTCAACGTCTTAACAGACTGGGAGGCACACAGAGTTGAAGAAAAGGTGGTACTTACCCAACCACGTGAAAACAAGCTAAATAGGAGTGTCTGAAGTCATACTCCTTAAATAAAATTCAATTGATTCATTCAACAAAAACTTACTTTATAGTCTGCTCAGTAATCGTAGGCACAAAAGTCTTCCGAGGACACTGTCACGGTGGCATGTGTCAAAGCCCCGGGGGTGCTAATGGAGTGAGCATCAGTTGGAATACAGGTACCACAGGATCTGGGGTGTTAACACTAGAATGTGCCGTGTTTTCTGTGCTGTTCCTCCATATGCCTCAGACTGCCGTTTTCAGCTCGTAGCAATCCTGTACAGGGTTTGAAGGCTGTCGATTTTTGCAGGAGCAGAAAGCCTCCTCTGAGATATGCGTGTCTATGACAATGTTATATTTAGTTGAAAAAACTGTACTTTATCACTCCACCATTGCTACAGAAAACTGCTTTCATTTCTTTTTTGCTTTGGGTACATGCCTTTTTCTCTTTAACTTCTAGAAAATAAAAGCCCATTGAAAACCATCCAGGTAAAAACACTCTAAACTCTTAAGAAGCAAATGTTGGGAGCATGTGAAACAAGTTTGGTGTGCATTTTTTTAAACAAAAACAAAAAATCGGCGGCTCCTTATGCTGGAGTGAGTGGCTTTGAATGTAGGTAGATGGGCGAGGCCGAACCTTCATTGGTACCTAGGAAGCAGTCCTTAAAGGCACAGTGTCTGGGCCTGTCAGGTTTGTCCAGTTTCCGGAGCTTAAGTACAGCCCTGTCACTGGCCCTGGGCTTAGTTCATACTTAGAGGAAATTATAAGCTCTGACTTGGTTCGCCTTTCTGAACAAAAACCTAAATGTACGAAGCAAACATATAATTTTGCCATCAGAATGGGAACTCTGGAAAAGGCATTAGTGTTTTCAAAGGAGCCGTTTCGTACAGCTCGTCCCTGCTATACAAATAACATAGACTTCAGAAGAACGGCAGAGTCGGTGAATTGAGTCTTTTTTAACTCATTGAATTCTACCATAATTTGAGAAATGGGTGTCTATGGCAACGTTATATTTTAAGACAATTTAAGGAACTGTACTTAATCACTCTGACTTTGCTATATAGAATTCCGCTGATTTTGTGTACTTGTTTGCTTAGGATACGTGCATTTTCCTCTCATAGGTCTTCTGCCAAGTCTTCTCTTCAGTGTCATGTGTCAGGCTTTAAATAGCACTTGCCGAATGTATTCCTTTTCCTGAGGTATTCCGCAAGCCTGGCTGGTTAGACGCACACGGAGCAAGCGCGTACATGTTAATTAGCTGTTTAATATTAATACGCTGCACTTGTTTTACCACATCCTGACCTAGGAAAATAAAGGGTTTTCTCACTGTTTCCTGTGGAAACACACACACACACATGTTCACCATACAGCTCTGTTGTTAAGTGCTGTCGAGTCGATTCTGACTCATAGCCACCCTATATAGGGTTTCCAAGGAGCAGTTGGTGGGTTTGAACCACTGACCCTGTGGTTTGCAGTCCAGTGCTGATCCACAACTCCACACCAGGAGTCCACGCACAATTGTAATGACTGTCAAATATCATAGTGTGCATTTGTCTTCTGTAGTTCAGACCCATCAGCCACTCCTCAGAAACCCTATCCAGGGTCCTTGTGAGTTGAGACTCAACAGCCCTTAACAATAACAACAGTAAGCCTCGGAGTAGCTGCTTGGGTAAACACATGGTCGTCCCTTTGAATCATTCTGCGTATAAGCTTTGAAGATGGGCTTGGTTCCTAAGAGTTACACCACAAGAAGGAATAGATCTCAGGCATCTGAAGGAGTAAAAAAACTCCCCTTAACTGATTAAATTCCTCAGGGCTGCACCTGCTTAAGTATATAGACACAGGGCAGAGTGTACCCAAGTTATCTTGATTATGAAGTTGTTTTTTTTACCCAATTTAGGATGTATCTCATGCCTTCAGCTATGAGACTGCCTTAAGGTGTTTACCAGTTTTGTATTGGTGCTGTGGAAACTGCCACTGAGTTGGTTCCAATCCATCACTTCCCTGGATAGGGGGTTTCCAAGGCTGTAAGTCTGTAAAGAAGCAGACAGCCTCATCTTTCTCCCAAGGAAAAGCTGGTGGGTTTGAACCACTGACCTTGGGGTTGGCAGTCCCCAAGGCTACCAGGGCTAGTAAGGGATAAAAACTATGATGACTTGATAGCACATGTGATTAGTTCAAAGCTATCTGTACTTTGTTGTTCATTACCCGGTCATTTCTCCCTGTCACGTCACAGGATCTTGCCCAATGTGTCACATGCCAAGAAAAACACGTTACTGTGAAGAAGGAGCCCCACGAGTCCCTGGGGATGACGGTGGCGGGAGGCAGAGGAAGTAAGAGTGGAGAACTGCCCATCTTTGTGACCAGCGTGCCCCCTCACGGCTGTCTGGCCCGAGATGGCAGGATCAAGCGAGGTAAGAGGGAGTCCACAGCTTCTCCCTGAATCAAACTCACATTTTTACAAATAAAGACTACCTTCAGAGTTGGTCATGACACACAACCCTTCAGGAGACTCCTTGCGGATGAGAGTGTAAGACCTTCCTAGCAGAGCAGAAAGCCTCGGAATGAAAAGGGGCCTTGTGGGGACTTGACAGCAGGCCTAGAATTTGCTGGAATTGATGCTTCTGAGTTGTGGTGTTGGAGGAGAACACTGAAAGTGCCATGGGCTGCCAGAAGAACCAACAGATCTGTGTTGGGAGAAGTGCAGCCAGAGTGTTCCTTGGCTAGGATGGCCAAACTTCGTCTCTCATACTTCAGACATATTGTCAGGAAAGACCAGTCACTGAAGAAGGATATCCTGTTTGGTAAGGTGGAGGGTCAGAAAAAGGAAGACTCCCAGCGAGATGGATTGGCCAGGTGGCAGCATCAATGGGCTCAAGCCTGGCAACAATTGTGAGGTTGGCCCAGGACCAGGCAGTGTTACGTTCTCTTGTACATAGGGTTGCTATGTATGAGTCAGTACCAGCATGATGGCACCTAACGACAACAACAACAATCCAGTCTGCTGGATTACTTTACGTTGGAAAAGACCATCTGAAGGACGGGCTTCGTGTGTCATGGCAGATTTGATCCTCTGTAGAGCCGTCATACTGCAAGACAAATGTTGCTTTTAAAGTTCATTTGGGGAAAAATGCAAAATTATATGTATACCTATCAGGGATGTAAAAATCTGTTTAAGAAATTAGTTATAACACCAAAATGTTCTAAAATCCCAACAGTATTTGTTTCCAGGTGATAAGATTTTGACAGTTTGGTATCCCAGATTTCTATAAGAGGTACATATTACTTTTAAAGTAATGAATGAATCCAAAGCCTAAGCTTGAGCCAGAGCGTTAGAAGACAGACACAGCTGTAAAGCCCTGTGGTCCTGCAGTCAGCAGTGTTTCATTAGACATGACACCAGAAGCCGGAGCAGCATTGGAAAAGTCAACTGGACTTCATCAGAATCGCACATTTTTGTGCTGCAAGATGCCATCAAGAGCAAAAAGACATCCCACAGACGAGGAGAAAACATTTGCAGATCACGTGGTACTGTAGGTTAAGCACTGGATTGCTAACCACAAGGTTGGCAGCTCAAACCCACCCTCTGTTAAGAGTTGGAACCGATTCGACGGCACTTAACAACATATTTGATAAAAGACGTGTAACTATAATTTATAAAGAACTCTTACTACTCAGTAATGCTGATACGTCAGACATGTTCTCAGGAGGAACCAGTCCCTGGAGAAGGACAGCATGCTTGGCAAAGTGGAGGGTCAGCAAAAAAGAAGAAGACCCCCAATGAGCTGGATTGGCCCAGTGGCGGCAGCAATGGTTGGTGAGGTGGGCGCAGGTGTGCAGAGGGTCGCTGTGAGTAGGTGCTGACTTGACGGCTCCTAACAACAACATGTAATGATTGCCTATTTAAAAACAGGCAGAGAATCCAATAGACGGTCTTTCAAAGGAGATGTTGTTGTTGTTGAGTACCATTGAGTCGGTTCCGACCCATAGCGACCCTGTACAGGGTTTCCGAGGCTATAAATCTTTACGGGAGCACAAAGCCTCATCTTTCTCCCACGGAGCAGCTGATAGTTTCGAACACGAAAAGCTACTCAAAGTCATCATCGTTACTGTTGTTACTAAGTGCCATCAAGTTCAGTCATAGCAAGCCTGCATGGGGTTCTCGAGGCTGTAAATTTCTACGGGAGCAGAAAGCCACATCTTTCTCCCAAGGAGCAGCTAGGGGACTCACGCTGTTGACCTTGTGGTTCACAGTTGAGTGCTTATCCTCCTGAGCCATTAGAGGAATGCAAAATAAACTCACAAGTGAGGTCCTCTTTCACACCCACTAGGAGCCCTGGTATGGCAGGTAAGCCCTGGACTGATAAAAAAACCCCAGATAACAGAAAGTGTTGTTAAGAATGTAGACGAGTCAGAACCCTCCGCGGCTGCTGGTGGGACTATGGATGGTATAGCTACTTTGGGAGACAGACATGTGTTCACACAAAAACTTGGGCATGAATGTTCATAGCAGCATTTTTCTAATAGGCAAAAAAGTGGGAACAACCCAAATGCCCATCCACTAATGAATGGGTAAACAAAAGGTGATCTTTCCAGATGATGGAATACATGATACAACATAACTGAAGCTCAAAAATACTAGGTTAAGTGAAAGAATATGTCTAGAATATCTGCATCCGTCAATCACCAAAATCCACTGCATCGAGTCAGTGGCACCTGACAGCGGCCGGTAGGACAGAAAAGAACTGTGCCAGAGAGCTCCTGGTGAAGCTAAAGGCCTCGTCTTTTCTCCTGTGGAGCAGCTGGTAGGCTTGAATCACCAACCTTCCTGTTAGAGCTTGATGCTTAACCCACTCACCACCAGGGCTCCTGAATCTATAGCTAACAGAAGGTGACTAGGTGGTTGGATTGGAGAAGTAGTACAGGGTAGTAAAGGGTGCATGGGTTTTGGATAGTGGTAAAAATGCCCTCAAATTGATCAAATCGCATCACAGATTTGTATTCTCTCTATGTGGGGATCTGCACAAGACCTCTTTCTGTAAAGTGCTCAAGGGCAAAGATGTCACATTGAGGACTAAGGTGTGCCTGACTCAAGCCATGGTATTTCCAGTTGCCTCGTATGCATGTGAAAGTTGGGCAATGCATAAGGAAGACCATGGAAGAATTGATGCATTTGAGTTCTGGTGTTAGAGGAGAATATTAAAAGTACCATGGACTGCCAGAAGAACAGATCTGTGTTAGAAGAAGTATAGCCAGAGTGCTCCTTTGAAGCCAGGATGGCCAGACTTGTCTCTCCTATTGCAGACGTATTATCAGGAGGGACCAATACCTGGAGAAGGACTGGGTCAGTGATAAGAGGAAGACCCTCAGCACAGTGAACTGACACAGGGGCAGCTGCATAGGACTGAAGCCTGAGAATCGCAAGAGTCACTGAGTTGGAACCGGCTCCGCAGCCCCTAACAACAACAACAACAACAACATGTAGGAATTGCATAGTACTCACTGATGAATTAATATCTCAATTTTGTTTTTACAAAACAAAAAACTTACTTGCCCAATTGTGGAATCTGGGGTATTTTTAATTTCTTCCTAGTTGCTTTAGGTTTTCTGTGATAAAAATGTTGTACTGTCCCTTGCACAATAAGTGGCCAATTGAGAAGAGGGAGTTTTCTGTGGGGTGTCTTGATGTGAAACTTGTGCCTTCCCCAGAGCGAATCCTTTCGGCCCTTTTTTAAATAGATGACTTGACCGACAAATGCTCTTTCCTTTTCTGTGAGAAGGAAAGCTCTTCAACTCGCCAGTTTCCTTTCCTTGTGTGGGCCCACGGATCTCTTTTCTGGATGGATTCTGAGAAGTGTACAACCAAGTGGGATATGCAAACCTGTCCTTTTGGACCATGTAAATATAAAATGGAAATCTAAAATTTCCAGAATCACCTTTAAGAGCCAAAAAGTCAAATGAGACCATTTGACAGTTTTGAACAGCTCTGCAGTGTTTTCCACAGACACTGTTTTCCTCTCTGATGAGACAGTATAAAGGTCTGCCCGTGGCCTTTTGCCTGACCTCAGTTATGGGAAGTGAGCTAGGCTTCGTTGAGAAATAGCAGGATTTGCAGAGAGGCGGCCACTTGGCAACTCACTCCCTGTCCTCCTCTCTTTGCTAGGTGATGTGTTGCTTGATATCAATGGGGTCGACCTGACCAATTTGAGTCACAGCGAGGCTGTGGCCATGCTGAAGGCCAGCGCTGCCTCCCCAACTGTGGTCCTCAAAGCCCTGGAGGTCCAGGTTCTTGAGGAGCCGGCCCAGACCACCGAGGAGCAGCCGAGCACACTCAGCGAGAACGAGTATGACGCCAGTTGGTCCCCATCCTGGGTCATGTGGCTGGGGCTCCCAAGGTACTCAGAACGTCTCAAGGGACAGGAGGGGACGGGAGGCTTTAATGGATACAGGTATCAACATGGAGCCAAGTTACAAAAGAAAATGATCATTTTTTAGATATGCTTTTAAAGGTAAATCTGACAAGAACCAAAGTAAAAAGACCACCTGCCTGCCCACTGCCACGGGGTGGGTTCCCCCTCCTAAGTGACCCTGCCTGTCAGGTATCACAGGCTGTAATCTTTACAGAAGCTGACACCTTCATCTTTCTCCCAAAGAGCAACCGAGCTAGTGGTTAACAGTCCAAAGCTGAACCCACTGCCCTACCCTACATGCTGCCTGTTCACCAAGGATCTTAGACTAGCTACGAGATTGGATGTTCCGGCTACTGCTTAAGGAACCTACCCATTCCCAGCCATTGTGCTTAGAGTTTATGTGGGTTTTTCACCAGGATAATCAAGCTAGGGCACAGGATCTTGCCTCCTTGGAGAAGCCTTTCAAAACGCCTTTTCTTCTATTTTTAATTCACCTTCCAAAGGTGCAGAGTTTAAAACTCGGCTTGGCTTAAATGACTCTACATAAAAGCTATTATATGTTCTAGAATAGCTGTTCCCAGCAAACTTTATAAAGAGCTCAGTACTCACAACTGCCTTTGGTCAGCCCAGAGTCTCTGCTCAGAGCCACTAGACTGTGGCGCCTCAGGGACATCAGAATGGAATTGAAATATGATGGAATTTTCAAACCATTAAAAGACCCCACACACTGTTTGGATAGGGACAGGTGGGACCCCTGAGACTGTGGCCCTTTAAGTCACCCGCAGGTCTGGAACTGAACTCACCCTCGTTGCTCAGTTTCCAGCCAAATAGTCAACAGGTTTATCAGGGAACAGTAACACCAGGGGAGGTGTGCATGCCTTAGTGTTACCAGCTGTTTAAAATCAAAAGGCAGCATTTTACTCCAGGACAAAGTTCAGGAGGATGAGACATAGAGGAGGAATGGAAACAGGAAACCCAGGGAGGCAGTGGGCGAGTCTGATGTTACACTGAGGGGGCTGCAGTCAGTGAGATGAAACAAAATGGATCTGCTCTATAAACCACCCCCTAAGGAGCTCTGGTAGCGTAGTGGTTATGAATCGGGCTCCTAACCTCAAGGTTAGTTCAAAACTACCAGCTGTTCCACGGGAGAAAGATGAGGCTTTCTGCTCCTGTAAGGATTTACAACCACGGAAACCCTGTACAGAGTGGCTCTGAGTCGGAACCGACTCCACAGCGCATAACAACAACTCCCAATGAAAAGATTTTTCCAAAAGAGAAAATTGAATTTCCCCAGACAGTTTCTGAAGCTCCCTCCTTTAGCTTGCTCTTTGTACAGTACTACGTTGTTGTTGTTGTTGTTTCCCCAAATCAGTTTAGAGTCTTACTTATAAAGTGTCCTAAGACTGAATTTTGCTGAAAGTGTGTGGTTCTTAGCCAAGTCTGAAAATGAACAATTCTTTGAATTAAACAGAAAGAATGTGCCAGTTCCAGAACCATCTGACTTCAGGCGGATTATGTTTATAATGATAGCTAGAGTTTGTATTATGCTTTGTGGTTTACGAAGTACTTGTACATAGACAGTAACAGAAAAGGCAGGAATCCTAGTGGATTTCATTTGTAGACTCTGTGTTTGGGGAAACAGATTTCATTATGACAAGGATAATTTAACTTCTTCATGATTGTTTATGCCCAAGCCCTGGTGGCGCTCCTGTAGGGTATGCACGGGACTGTGAACCATAAGATCAGTGTTCAAGTCCACCAGCCGGTATTAGACTCCTCCCAGGAGCGCTGGTGGCATGTGGGTTAAGTGTTAGGCTGCTAAACTGCCAGGTCATCGGTTCAAACCCATCAGCCGATGCATAGGAGAAGGATGAGGCAGTCTCCTCCTGCAGAGATGACAATCTCGGAATCCCTCTGGACAGGTTGCTGTAAATCGAATGGACTCTCAGGCAGTGAGTCTTATACTTCCAGAAAGTGACTCTCGAAATTGTGACCTGTCCGTTTAAACCTGGAATGGGAGACACTTTCCTTCCTTCACTGAGGGGGAGGAGTTGTCCCCACATGCTGTCATGGGGTAGGTAGAGACCACCCAGCACTGCAGTAGTTCACCCACCTGCTAGTCCCGTCCAGTTTCGGGCCAGCCTCTCCCTGCTGTGCCAGGAGGAAACCCACGGTTCTAGTGGAAATATACGCCGCTCAGGAAAGATGCTACCGGTGGTCTCTGAAGACGTCTGAATGGAAGGAACGCCTGTTATAAACAGCTGCGGTTCTGTGGAGGAAGGAGCCTAGTGGTGCTCCTGGGTAAGCACTGGACTGCTTCCCCCAAGGTTGCTGTTCAAACCCACCAGCCCCTCCTGGGGAGAAAGATGAGGCTGTCTGCTCCCATCGAGAGTCTCGGAACCCTAAGGAGCAGTTCTCTGTCCTCTGGGGTGGCCGTGAGTTAGAAGTCCCTTGACGGCACTGGGTTTGTGTGGGATGTGGGTTCTGTGGGTTCCACTGCATGCAGACTTCATTCACCATCGGTGCATCGACAACTCAGCAGGTCCCACCACTTACATGTGGCCCTGCTCTGCTCCTACAAAAGCCATGCTTCCACGGCAGTCTGCTGGGGGGGCCCCAGAACCCGTGTGTTACAGAAGATGAGAGCAGCTAACTGTGACTCTGAAACTCCAGCCCTGCAGAGCCTTTCTCATCGGTGAGCTAAGATGCCGGACCACATGAAGAATCCTGATGCTGATGTTGTGTGACATCAAGTCGGTTCCTACTCACACTGACCCTGGATAAGGTTTCCAAGACTGGAAGCAAAAGCCTCATCTTTCTCCCTTGGAGCAGCTGGTGGATTGGAACTGCAGGCCTTGCAGTTCTAGCCCAGGGCTTACCCACTGTATATTTCTTTAGGGAATTGGCTCCCTTAAGACATCATTTTGGGTGGATTATAAACAGAAAGCCTTGCCTTAGCACCCTAGGTATTCAGTTTGACCTAAAAATGAGAGAGGCTGAATAGAGATGTGGTTTTCTGGTTGTTTTTTGTTTTTTTGTTTTTTTTGGGGGGGGAGGGGTTTGTGGTTTTCATTGTAAGTGTCTGCTCACTGTTTGTTTCCAAATCCATAGAGCTATGGACTCATACGGAGCCCGGGTGTGACACTATAGGATAAGTACTAGACTGCTAATCACAAGGTCGGCAGTTCAAACCCACCAGTTGCTCTTCAACACTTATACAGTGTCGCTATGAGTCGGAACCGACTTGACGGCACTAACAGCAATGTTTGTTGTTGTGAAGTACCGTGGAGTCAGTTCCGACTCATAGTGAGTGGCCCTGCGCAGGGTTTCCAAGGCTATAAATGTTTACAGAAGCAGAAAGCCTCATCTTTCTCCTGCAGATCGGCTGGTAGTTAGTTTCGAGCTGCTGACCTTGAGGTTGGCAGCCCAGCTTGTAACCACTACGCTACTGTGTTGTTGTTGTTAAGTATCATGGAGTCGGTTCCGAGGCTGTAAATCTTTACGGGAGCAGAAAGCCTCATCTTTCTCCTGCGGATCGGCTGGTAGTTTCGAACTGCAGACTTTGCAGTTAGCAGCCCGACTCGCGTAACCAGTATGCTACCATAGAAGAGTATATATTAGATGTTTTCTCTCTCTCCATGTGCTACATGATCCAAACTAACAATAACATCTTAACTAGAACATCTCAGTGTCCGTGATGTTAAAGGAAAAGAAATACAAATGAGTCCCCTGATTTGGTGAGTAGTGTCTGCCTTCTCATGAACGCATTTTAAGTGAGGGAGGAAACTGCAGCACGGAACTCCCCACACCACCGCCGGTTCCGGTGCAGCTCTGCAGGGCGCCTTCAGCGAAGGGAGCAGTTGCCTCTTTTCAGGGAGGAGGAGACACTGCCCTGCTTGTCACTGACCTCTTTCCTGAGTCTTGAGGTCTGCTGGCCATTGGTGATTATTCTTCTCGATGTTTCCCTCCCTGTTGTTGAGTTCGTTCCCCCTCACAGCAGCCCTGTAGCGCAGTGAAGCTGCCAGGAGGGTTTTTCAGGCTGCCATCATCACTGAAGCAGTGGGCACGGCTTTCTTCCCCGTAGGGACTAGTGGGTTCAAACCTCCCACTGCTGAGTTAGCAGGTCTGTAGCTGCAAGTGGACATTAGAATGAAGGGCCTTGCTGACAGTGTGGTGAGCAAAGAAGGCACGGAGCCGTTCTCTCCACAAGTCTGAGCTCTCGCTTCTACTCAAGTTGCCGTCTTCTCTTGGGAGAGGTACTGTAGAGGTTGAACAAATTGTAACACCCAGAAGATGGGTTGTCAAAAGCAGAGATTCAGAGAGACCTAAAGCAGCCCTGGTTCTGGTTTTCCATGTGTCATGGCCATGGGGGACTCGGTGTGCTGTTGACGGATCAGCACTGGGCTGCTAACCGCACGGTCAGCGGTGCACACCCACCCACCAACGGAAAGCCTATACAGGGTCACTTAACAACAGTGTGACCCGGTAGGGAATGATGGCAAAGAGGAGCAGGCTGGACCCGCCGTCCCGCTGACATTCCTTCCTTTGTCTGCTCACTGCAGTGCCCTTCACAGCTGCCATGACATCGTTTTACGAAGAAGCCACCTGGGGAGTTGGGGCTTCAGCATCGTTGGCGGGTATGAGGAGAACCACACCAACCAGCCTTTCTTCATTAAAACGATCGTCCTGGGAACACCGGCTTACTACGACGGAAGGTTAAAGTGAGTCCTGTGAGGTGTCGCTGAGGTGAATGTGTATCGTGATGGCCGCCATCTAGGACAAGGCTCAGCATATGGAACCCAGCCTGCCGGCCACTTTTGTAAATAAAGTTTTATTGGAACACATGCATGCTCATTCAGCAGAGGGGTGTCCTGGTGGCACAGTGGGTTAAGATTGGGCTGCTTAACCACAAGGTCGGTGGTTCAAACCCACCAAGTGCTGCTCAGGAGAACGATGAGGCTATCTGCTCCCGTCCAGATTGGCAGTCTTAAAGAGCCTGTGGAGCCGCTCCTCTGTCCTGTAGGGTCGGAGTGGACTCCAGGACAGTGGAGTGGGTCTGATGGGGTCTTCTGGCCCCTGGCAGTGAACATGTGCTGAGCCCTGACCTGCTGTGGAATCAGACCAGCACCAAGTCATCACTCACAGCTGTGTCTTGTTCCTAATGACAGGAAGTGGGCCCAGTGTGACCCAACAAGTAGCTCTGAGCAGAAGTCCCCGTCCCATCCTGAGATCAGGTGGCTGATGGGCTTTCCCACACTCCCCTGAGGGAGGAGTTTGCTCTCCATCCCGGTCGGACAGCGGGAAATGTCCGGCTCAGTGAGGAAGGAAGGCAAACGTCTCACAGCCCAGTGGAAGGAAGTGCGCAGTCTCCCTTACGGAGGGAGGAGCTGACTGAGCACCCAGAGGTCCCGAGACTTGCAAACCACATCACTGGAAGTGGCTGAGGGTAGGGGTCAAACCCAGGACTCTGGGCCTCCAGAGCCATTGCCCTCAACACCACTGGGCAGATTGTCTCCGGGGCTTGGAAACATCCCTGGAACAATTCCATTATCTTTCACTTGGTTTCTCCACTTTTGTGAACTCCCTTGTTCTTGTTCCGCCAGTGGGCAGCCTGCTTCCTCTCAAAGACCCGGCACTGGGACGGGAAAGAGGAGATTTCCGGAGATTGCCCCAAGTGACTACAGAAAGGGCAAAGGGCTTGTTACTGCTCCGATGCTGTGAAGTAGCATCAAGTCAGTTCAACTCACAGTGACCCCGTTCCAGGGTTTCCATGGAGCAACTGATGGGCTCTAACTGCCAACCTTGTGGTTAGCAGTCCAGTGCTTACTGTACAGTGCCACCCCAGGGCTCATGGGTATCCAGCTGCGTGCCAATAGATGGAGTCAGAACACAGTGACCGTGTGGGTCCCACACAGGACGACGCAGTACTTCCTCTGTTCAGCACGAGGTCACGGGGGTCGGAGTTGATTGGCGGCAGCTGTCCGTATATCTAGCTGTCTGTCTTGAAGACACACCTGGAGCCAAAGTTCAGCCAACACTGGCTTTCCCTTGTGCCAGCCCTCCTGTAACTGGTGGGTGAATTCCAAGGGCAAGTGGCTTGGTGTTCCTGGGACTGTGGTCCTGACGCAGGTAAACTTACTTAGGAGAGGGTACCTGCTCCCTCTTCACAAAAGCAGCAGACGGTGGTGTGTGGAGAGCTTGCTGGTCAGTTTGAGTGGTATTTCTATGTTTGTCTCAGAGTTCATTTACTCAGGAGCTGAATTAACTTTGAGACTAAGACACTGCAGGCTTGCTCTCCTTAAGTAATTGATATGCGCTGTCCTCCAAGCAAAGTCCTGGGGGTACTGCGGGCTCGGTTAATGTACTGGACTGTAAAGTCAATTTGAACCGCAAGGTCAGCAGTTCAAGCTCACCAGTTGCTCCTCAGAAACCCCTATATAGAGTTGCTATGAGTCAGAACTGACTCGACAGTAGTTAACAACAACATCCTCCAAGGAAGAGCCCAGATGCTTAACCCTCCACTCTGAGGGAAAGAGATGAGGCTGTCTGCACCCATCAACATGCAGAGTCTCAGAAAGCCTAGTGACCACTCTGACCTCGGAACCGACTGGACGAATTTAACCACCACCTCTGTCTGTAGCTGAATGTCAGCCAGGCGGTTCTGACGCTCAGTGAGTCTAGAAGACTGAGGAGAACTGCCCTATGGGGTTTCCAAGACTGCCCTATGGGGTTTCCAAGACTGTACATCTTGAGGGAAGCAGACAGCACCCGCATTCTCCCCAGGGGTGACTAGTGGATTTGAACCTGTGGGGTGAACAGCCTGATGGCTTACCCCTCTGTGCCACCAAGTGTTGTCCTGTACAACCCTCCCAGTCATTGTCATGTTGGAATCCATGTTGTGGCTACTGCGTCCGTATCACTGAGGGTCTCCTTCACTCGCTAACCCTCCACTAGCTGACCCCCTCAGAGGGTTTCCATGGATTCATTTTTGGAAGCAGATCATCAGACCTCCCCCAGCCTGTCCTAGTCTGGAAACTTCACTGACACCTGTCCACCCGGGTGTACTGTCCTGCTGACATCACAGCCACAAGTTTATCAGACCAATGGGTGTGGGTGCTCTCCAAGATCACACAAGGAGGCTTCACAGAATTCATGGAGAAATGGAGTCCAAAGGACAGAATCTGTCCATGGACTTTTTGAAGCCCCCTCGCCCCCTCACCCCCTGAACCTTTGATTGTTAGTGAAATTGCGGACTCTGCGCTCAGCAGGTGTCAAGTGGGCTAAGGTTTGTGGTACCACCACCTCATAAGGGGGCACTGACTCTGCTCTGCTTGTCTCTCACCAGGTGTGGAGACATGATCGTAGCTGTCAATGGCCTGTCCACCGCAGGCATGAGTCACTCAGCGCTGGTCCCCATGCTGAAGGAGCAGAGGTCCAGAGTCACCCTGACCGTCACCTGCTGGCCTGGGAGCCTCGTGTAGAAACGCTCCCAATGGCTTTTCAGTCAAGTCTCTTCTTTTTAGGTTTTTATGGAAGAATGCTTTTTGGTTCCCTTGTGTTTCTGGTTGGTGGGAGCACACATGGTAAATGTGCCAGGCCAAAATACCACCGAGATTATCCTTAATATTTGAACGGTTTCCCGCCACTCAGCCACATCGTCCTGAACGTGGGCACACAGTCTTCCACTGACCCTCATGTGTCCCCATGTGCAGAATGCAGGCTCTCCTTGTGGGGACCAGTACTCAGCCCTCGCGGGCACCAGCCACACAGCCCCGAAGGCTGGCCGCCCACGCAGGCAATAAAGCAACACCACGAACCGTGGCTGCATTTGAAATTGGGGCCATAACTGTTTCCTGTTTTTCACTGGTGCCAACATTTCAAAACATCGCCCAACTTTATAACGTGATTTTCCTGGTTTGCCTCTTCGGTTGCTTTCCTGGCTCCTTATTCGTGGGCACTGAAGGCTGGCATCAGCCCTGCTGACGAGACCAGGAAAGCACAAGTGATTTAGAATAGGAGTGGATCAAAGATGGTGTGACCCCATGACAAAACACAGTCATCAGGGTGCTGGGAGAGCTGCACCTTTCTGAACAGCAATGTTTTGTTGCAGAGGCGCATTCCGAAGCGGTTTTTGCTAAAATGTCCTTTCTAGAGTTTGTATTCTCCAAATCAGCAATCTTGGCTGGAAATGTGTGTGTGAATTCTACCATTAATCTAGATAATAAAAGAAAACCACACTGTACTTAAATACATCCTCTTCCATCACAGCCGAGTAGATGGAAAAGACCTTTTCGGTTTTTCTATTTGAGAAACCCTTGTTTCCCCCACTTTTTCTTTACTTATGAACTTAATGAGTTCAAGTAGGAGTTTTTAAAGTCTGAAGTAGAAGGTTTTAGGTCGTCATATCTTTAGTCAGATCGTGTAGACGATTTCTTTCTTCATATATATAATGCCTTTTACATCGATGACCCACCCATTTTGCTTGTCCTTGATCCAGCGTGACTGCCCTTTGGGAGAACCCTTTGGGAGCACGTAGAATGTGAACCAGAAGAACAGTTAGCATTCCCTTATCAATATTGTTATGCAGACTTGAGAGCAAGCTTTGTTTAGAAACCTAGTTCAGCCTCTGAGCTGATTGACCAGTGACCTCCGTAATCAAAGGTAGTGATGATCAGAGAATTTTGTGTCCAAACACTACTGTCTATTGTGATGCATAACTACTTTATTGGCAAACTTTGCCACGGCACTGCTGGACTTCATTGTACTGGTGGCATATCAGTGAGGGACCCCAGTTCATTTCATGATGCTTTTCTTTGTAAACATATCTCTTTTGAATGAGTGACAATCGGCAGTTGTTTCTTGTTCAGCCCCTTACCTGTATTGTAAAAGCCCAGCGTGGGATGTCCCATACAGTATATTACTGTCCGGCCCCTTGGCTTCCGAAGCAGTTTGATATTTACAAGCTTTGGTATTCTCACTGACCTGGAATAGTTTTTTGTTGTTTCTCTTTGCCCCTGCTCTTCAAAGAGCAATTTTGTAACAGCCATTGCTACTTTTTCAAACCTTTTGTAAGAATGTATCGTTTCTTGGGGCCTAGCCACCCGTCAGAGAGGATCCCTACTGCTACTTTGCTTCTATGAAATACTTCCATCGAACCCTGGTGGTAGACTGAGTATTTTGAAAGAAAAAAATTAAATATTTTTCCATCTTGTTTTGATCATGGAAGCCTTGGAATCAGCTGTAGCTACATGTTTTATTACAAAGCTTTTCATGGTCGCCTTTGGTCAGAATGATACTTGGTGATGGAAGTATATTCATAATTTATTGTTACAATCAAAAAAATTTGGATGTTTTCTCATTGTGCACATTTACCGATAAATACTTTGATTTTTGTCCTGTGCGTTCGTTTTAAATTATTTCACGATTTTCCATGTGTTTAAATCACGGTGTGATGATTATTCAGGATGGAAATACAAACCCTGCTTTCTGGAACCACAGCAGTGTTGTCTGTTTCTTGGGCGGCGATGTTCACGGATCATGGGATCCTTGATCTTCATGGCACTTCTTCCATACATGAGTCTAAGCCTGGAACCTTGGGAGCGCGAGCCCACCTCCTAGCTCACATTTCTGTGGCACTGCACACTTGATCGCTAGACCCGCACCCTCTAAAACATTGGCACCGAGCACCTGAAAAGCAGTTGGTGCAGCATGTTGACGTGATAATGTTTGGATGTTGTTGTTAAGGTGCCATCAAGTCGGTACTAACCCATAGCGACCTTATGCACAACAGAACAAAACACTGCCCAATCCTGGGCCAACCCCACTACTGCTGCCACGCTTGAGTCCATCAATGCTGCCACTTGGCCAATCCATCTCGTTGGGGGTCTTCCTCTTTTTCTGTGACCCTCCACCTTACCAAACATGATATCGTTTTCCAGCGACTGGTCCCGCGTGACAATATGTCTGCAGTATGAGAGACGAAGTTTAACCATCCTGACAATATGTCTGCAGTATGAGAGACGAAGTTTGACCATCCTGACAATATGTCTGCAGTATGAGAGACGAAGTTTGGCCCTCGTGGATTATTTAAAATGCATTATTAAATCATGTCAGCAGTTTCTTTTCACTCTGTTAGCTTTGTGTCCATTGCACAGTGGCTTGTTTCTGTTTCTCTGGGCCAGCGCTGCACTGATCTCTTCTCTCCTTCACTGAGACCGCATTGATCCCCGCATGCAGCCCTGGTGGCCCTGCTTCGGTTTGCTATTTGGCTTTGATCTCAGCGACTATATTGGGTTCTGGTGAATCTATTCCAAATCATAGTGACCCCATGTGGAAGAGCATTTTCTTGACTGCAGTCTTGTCTTTTTAAATTACATTTTATTATGGTTTTGGTGAAGGACCACACAGTGGTGTAGGTTCCCACTCAGCAATCTCTACACAAGCTGTCGGTGACGTTGGGGACTTTCTTCACAGTGTGTGGGCGTTCCATTCTCTTTCCTTTCTGGTTCTTGCATCTCCCTTCATCCAGAGCCCCCCCACCCCCACCCCTTACTTTCTCATCTTTGTTTTCCAGTAACTGCTGACCCTTTGCTCTTCTACAGGTGATGTTGGTTTCTTTTTTAAGTTTTTATTGTGAACTGAGTGATCGTTTACATGTGAGAACATCAATTTTACACTCATTTCATTGCAATGATTACGATCCCCTCCGTGCACCATCATTCAACATTATTTGCTTCTATTCCCTCTGGGTTTTTTGTTTGTTTTGAGGGGAATTACTTAAAAACAGGAATATTTAATAATGTAACCAAAGGGCACATTCTGCAAGCCTGCCTTACAGGTGATTTTTTTAAAAAGAGCCTAGTACTTGCAGGTGATACTTGGATTTTTTTAAGCCAATGTGTATTTAACTACGAGGCGACCTTGGGGTAAGGCAGCAGCGGCCTCAGGGAACCCTCCCGGCTCAGTCGGTCTGGTGTGTGTGGGGGGGTTGGTTTTTAGGACTCAGGTTCTGTCCCTGGTTTGTATCCCACCCTATCAGGGCACATCTGATGTGTCCCTTTTCAGAAGGCTCTGGCAGTTGCTGGGATTCCAAAGGAGACTTCTTGATCAGTTTTCTTGACGAATACGGGACAATCGTCAGGGAATGTCCTGAGGACGTTTAAGGCAATGCCAGGCTGGTAAGAAACGGGCCAGGAAAGTGGCGCCGAGGAACTCGCTTCCATCCACCCAGCGCATGCGCTCATCCTTCCACGATAACAGGGCTGTCCTGGAGGAATGTCGTCAAAGGACGCCTAACACCTCGAAGTTGCTGGAACTGCTGTTTTGACTTACTGTCAATACAAGGGCACAGAGCTCTTCAGGGCAGACTTGTTGGAAGTGCCGTTGAGTCGGTTCCGACCCATAGCGACCCTGTATAGGGTTTCCGAGGAGCTGCTGATGAGTTTGAACCGCCGACCTTGCAGTTCGAATGGCTTTGCAGTCTGGCGCATTAACTCACAGCGCTACCCCAGGACTCCTCAGGGCAGACATACAGAGATGGAAACCCCTTCAGAAGTGTACAGTCCCAGATGGAGGAGATGTTGAGAAGCTTCTTATTTTGATAGATAGATGTGTTTAATACAGCAGTTGATGATTTTTGTAGCGGTACTTTTTGACTTACTCTTGGTACTGCCTTCAGGTTTCCTTAGACACTTGAGAAATACCCGTGGGTATTCGGGTGAATGCTGTTTCTTCTCCCTGCATTCGTTTAAAATGAGCCTCCACGCTTCCTCAGAAGTTTGGAAATAGAAATACCATATGATCCAGCAATTCCTCAACTTGGTATTTACCCACAAGAAATACGAGCCATAACACGAGTAGCTATATGCACACCAATGTTCATAGCAACACTATTTACAATAGCAAAAAGATGGAGACAGCTTAAATGCCCATCAATTGAAGAATGGATAAACAAACTGGTACATATACACGATGGAATACTATGTTACCTTGATGAACAACAAGGAAGCTGCAAGCCACCGCATAACATGGATGAACCTTGAGGGCATTTTGCTGAGTGAAATTAGTCACAAAAAGAGAAATACTGCATAGGACCATTTTGTAAAAGACTAAGAAAAAGAACCCACCCAAAAGGGGGACAAAACCAAACAAACTATATATATATATATTTAATTGCTGATCACTGGGATGTATGGGATGAGAGGAGGAGAGGGAGGGAGGGAGGAAAAGATAGAGCACAGGGTACGGAATAGTCACAGGAAAGCTTGGGTGCTTAGGGAGGGTGGGCAATATACAAGAAGGAGGCGGGGAATGGAAGAACGAGGCTGATGGGAGAACAGAACAGGTTCTCATGGGCTAGGTGGGACAGAGGTAAATGATGATGTATGCACAACCTTGGAACAACAGGGCTTCGGGATACAGGGATTGAGGCACGGTTTGAAAGGGTAAAAGAGGGGAATAGTGATAAGATGCTTGGCTGTCT